TTACGGAGGAGGACACGACGGGGGCGGGGGGTTACGGAGGAGGACACGACGGGGGCGGGGGGTTATAGTGGAGGGTCTGATGGGTGGCAGGGAGTTATGGGTTAGGGTTATGGGGAAGGACATGATGGGGGCATATGAAGGAGATTTGGGGGGAAGGTTTCTGAAGAACACATAGAGATGCCTGAAGCCAGGAACAGCATCTTACCTGGTCTCTGCACGATGAATGGAGCCAGCAACTTGGCCCTCTTCTTCTCAAAGCCCTTCTGGGTGATGTCACCTAGCAGAGAGCAGACAGAGGGTCAAACACTGTCCCTCAGCACTGACCCCCCTAGACGCCTGTGGACCGCTGGTCTACTTGGCACCGCTAGTTTCTGCGTGGCTATATAGCACTTACATTGTTTCTCTATTGGGAGATATTTCTGTGTTGATTGTATGTTGCATCTGAGCCTGCCCACTTAATGACAAGTTTACAGCATTTCTGATGACAAATGCCAGGTTTTAAGCACTATTCACATAGGCTGTTTTTTTTCCTTGTTCCCGTTTCTGGTCACTGACTGCAAGCCCAGCCAAGCAGCACCGACACCTATGCTGTAGGCTTATGTGTTATCTGTCTCATTTGTATGTTGCTTTGGACAAAAACATTTGTCAAATAAATAAATGTAAATATACAACTAGGAGGCAGAGGGCCTAAGAGCTGGTCCTGCCCCCCAGTGCAGAGAAGCTAAACACAGCGGGTGTTGGACCATCCAGGTGACTTTTATCCGCAGACACTTCTTTGAGGTTCCTTCATTGATATTCTCGTGCTGCTAACATCAGGCCTTTACGGCTCGTGTCCCACAACAGCAGGCGGATTACAGAAAAACGAAGTGAGTATAGGCCAATGGAGACACAGCGGCACCATGGCACTGCCAGCGGGCAAGAGAAGGTGCGTCCAGGAGGAGAACACGGCCTCCGAAAGCGGGGCTCACGGCAGTGAGAGGGAGGGTGGCGCTCAGGTTGCCCGTTTATACAGAAGGGAAACCCAGGCAGGCAGGGAGGGAGTGAGCGGGAATGAGCGGGAGTGCTCTGGCGGCAGAGTGCCCAGCCCGGCCCGAACTGGCCCGACCCAGCCCCAGGACAGGGTGGAGATGGGCGGGGTGACAGATGGAAGAGCGCGGGGGGGGCTGAGGAGGGGGTGGAGCACAGCGGTGGGCCATCGAAACTCCACCACACATGCATTCTCTCTCCTCATCTCCCTCTGCATTTCTGCTCCATCCAGTCCCCCCCCCCAACCCCCCCCCCATCCACCACCACCAAGCCCGACATGCGAAGCGGGAGCATGAATCTCGCTTCGCCGTGTCACAGGCTGATGGGCTCTGTGACACACACCAACACACACCTTTGTCACCTTAAATGGTTACGAGCAGCCAGTGTTTCATACAAACCAAACATAGAGAACCGCGCGTTTTTAACAAAGCCAGCCAGAGAAACACATCCCAGTTAACAGAGCTTACACACAAACAAACAAAGGCTATTTTTACCAGTGTAACAGGGAAGAACAATACGCACAGTGACACATTAACTCGATGACCTACCAGCGTGACAGGAATGCTGCATTATGGGATACACATGCAAAGCATTTCTTTAATTGAGAGGTATGCACTGGACCAAAAAAATATAATCTAACTGAGGCCATATTCTCTGATATTGTAGTTATTTTTATCCAAGTTCATCTGTACATCAGTCAATAATAATACAATTCACCCATGGCTGCTTTGGTGTTCAGGGCTGGGAATACACTGTAAACACATAGCAATGGGCCCAAAGGTTACATCAGATAGTAGTTATGATGAAACTGTGAAAGGGAAGGTGCAAGGTTTAATGTGGAGACGTAAAACCGAGGTCCTGGCTCTCTGAGGGCATAAAAGATCCCTATGCATCTTTCAAAAGAGTAGAGCAGGTACCACTGTGGCCCTTTCACTGTGGCCTCCTAACCATCCCCTAAATCGAATCTCTCCTGCCCCTTCACCACCTTAGCTACTGTGTGGTGACTGTACTGGCGCAGAATGGCTGCTGTCACATCATGCAAGTGGGGGCTACACAGTGGTGGTGGCTGAAGAGGCTCCCCATTGGTTCTCTAAAGCGACTTTGGGTGTCTTGAAGAGTGCTATATGAATGTAACATTCATTTACTCAAAATCCATTAGGGCCATGGGAGGCTCTGTGGTGATTCACCTAGAAAACGGAGGGCAAAGAGAATGAACCGGACCTGTGTGGAAGTCAGAGATCCCAGGGGAGCTTTACTACTACTACTACTACTACTACTACTACGACTACTACGACTACTACTACGACTACTACTACGACGACGACGACGACGACGACGACGACGACGACGACGACGACGACGACGACGACGATAATCATAGCACTTTTCATACATGTGAGATCTGTATCCCCAGGTCAGGGGACGCAACAGTGACGTAACAGTGACCGTCACCAAGCACTGGCCCGCTCTCGCACACCCAGAGTCAGTGCACCGGGACACATGTCAAGCCACAGTGCAGGCTGGTGCCCCAATGGGCATATGCCAGGAAAGTCCAGCCCTGAAGGTATCTAGACCGGAGCTGGACAGGTAGACATTTGACCTCTCGTCCAACCACATCTGCCCGGAAACAACCATCTTGAATAGCAGCTTGACATATTAATAAACCGTTATCAGTTACTGCATTTGAGAGACAGGCCCACACAGGTCACCCTCCCCAGAGTGAGAAAACGCAGACCTACGCCAAGGACCAGAAGGCCAGGCAGTTTTCCGGAGGCTGAAAGCAAATCCGAAAACTCAAAACGAGGGGAAGGAATCCCCAGGTCGGTAAAAAAGCCACAAACACATGCATCAGGAAACCCTGTGAGATCACATGGCAGTCTGCCAGAGCACTCTCCCCTATCCCATTGACCCACTTCCTGGGCACCCCGCAGACCAACTAACATCCCCAGATGTGACGTCCTCTAGTGGCCAACTCAGTGAACTGCGCCAGCGAGATTCCACACTGAACGTCATAGGCAAGCCTGCAACCCAGAGAGTCACAACAACCTGCTTGGATCAGGTTGGATGAAATATTTCATACAAAATGCAGCTCATTCATCTAAAGAGTTGCAACATAAAAATTGGCCATGGGATATACACAATATTTTTTAGGTGTACTGAAAAGGAAATTTGGTAATTGCAGAATCATACATCACCAACAGAGGGTGTGGTAGTTAGAGAGAAAGGCCTTGTAGTGCATGTGTACAACAGGCCATCACCATTACAGAAACTTCCGGCGCTCTGAGACCTGACAAACTCTTCAGCTTTTTACTTACATACCAAAGACCCCTTTGAATGGGCCCGCACCGTTTCCGTTGAATTACACTTTATCGCAGCAGGGCTGCTCGTTCTTTTCCCACATCTTTTCATTCAGATGGGTTTCTTACTGCCTGCATTTAGCCGGATTTAGCCAGTAGCTCTGCCTCACATTTCCGGGCCTCCAACGCACGGAGTCACGATGGCGGGGGTGGGGGGGTGAGCAGAAAATGCTGTGACAGCAGACCGGCTTCACTGCGAGAAGCAAACTCCCACACGCAGAACCGCTGCCCCGCCATCAGAGTTTTACGACCCCCCAGGATCAGACCCCGACCTCAAACCCCCACCCCCTCAACCAGCTGGCCCAAATAGCAATTAATGTTGCAGGATTAGGCCGATCATGTTGGGGTAGGGTGGGTGGGGGGGTGGGTAATGTATCACATGATCCACTCGCTGTTCTGAGTTCCCAATTCCCCAACAATGAGGGGGGGGGGGGGATCAGGCAGTTTATGTGCCACGATTCAGTACAGCGGGGCTAGCAGGTGCAAGACATGTGGGCAATTAACAGCAACAGGACAAGAACAAACTGCAAATGAAGAAGTGAACGGAAACCATGAAAAAAAACCATGAAAAAAAGCACAACAACAACAGGAATCCCGTCGGCCCAATCAGTGACACGCGACCTTCAGGACCTCTCACCTCTCGAAGATGCCGGCTGAGGATTTTAAATGGAGGAGGTGTCAGAACGTAGGGGTGTGATCTAAGGCTCGATCTGAAACCCAAACAGCATGATGAAATGGAGCGTGTTTTACCATCACACCATTTGTGTGTTGGAGGGAGGGAGGGAGAGGGG